GAGGAGACTGGCATGTGACTCAGTGGACTGAGAGAGGAAGACCCACCCTCAAGGTGGGCAGGCACCGTCCAATGGGCTGCCAGCACAGCTACAACAAGGCAAGCAAAGGAATGGAAGATAAGTAGCTTGCTGAGTTTGCTCTGTCTCTCCTGTCTTCCTTCCCATCTCACAATGAGATGCCCTTGGACACCAAACTCCAGATTCTCTGGATTCTGTGACTTGCACTAGTGGTCTCCCCAGGGCTCTCAGGCCTTTGGACCATAGGACTGCTGAGTCAGCTTCCCTAGTTTTGAGGCTTTCGGACTCGGACAGTGCCATACTACAGCCTACAGTGCCATACTACCGGCTTTTCTCATTGCCCAGCTTGCAGATGGCCTATCACAGGACTTTGTCTTGTAATCCTGAGAGCCAATCTTCCCTAATAAATTCTCTTTTAAAAATATGTATATCCCAGAGGTTCTGTCCCTCTGGAGAACGCTTACTAATATGAAGAAATAGCAAAAGGAAGAGAGCATCCTCCAACTATACCATTTCTTAAAGTTTGATCTTAGAATCGTGTTTTATATATCACAAATAAAATTAAGGAGAAGGGAAAAATGTAAAAATGATTACAAATGAAAAAATAGGAATTTTATTGTGTTTCAAGTGAATAACAAACACCCAGAAAAAAATCCAATTGCTATTAATTTTTGAACACAATACAGTTATGCCTTGTTTAATAACTGGGATATGTTCTGAGAAATGTACTGTTAGGCAATTTCAACATCTGGTGAACATCACAGAGTGTTGTTACACAAACCTAGATGGTACAGCCTAGTACACACCTAGGCTATGTTGTATAGCCTAGTGCTCCCAGGCTAGAAACCTGCACAGTATGTTACTGTAGTGAATACTGTAGGGAACTGTAATACAATGCTAAGTATTTGTGTCTCTAAACAAGCTGAAACACAGAAAAGGTACAGTAAAAATTCAGTACTGTAATTTTATGGGAACACAGTCATACACATGATTCATCATTGACTAAAACATGTTATATGGTACATAACTGGACTTTTAACAATATATCTTTAGTCTAACAAAAGAACTGCAAACAAACCTGTAGCTATACTTGGTAGTTTGTTGTTTGTACTAGTATGGATAAAACAATTTTGAAGTATTCATATGTACTATAGAACTGAATGGGAAAAAATACTGTTGTAGAAAATTAGAGTTCTCACTCCAAGTTAAGGGAGACACATGGAATGGAAGAAGGTAAAAAAAAAAACTAAGTGTAAACAGTAATGAAATGTATCAGCATAGCCTCATGATTTTTAAAATATATATATTTATATATAAAGTATTTTTTTTCCTATCTCTGCTCTCTAAAAGGACCTAGAAGAAAAAATAACCCAACAGCAATGAGCACACTTATCACCTAGATCGTGGTTTCTATATACCACTCCACACTAAAAGAACCAGGATTTCTCAGAGAAATAGATGATTCTAGAGCTAGGTAGGAAAAAAACAGGTTGACCCTAGAAAATCTTATTTTGTCAAAAGCAAGAAAGAGTTCAAGAATAATGGAAACATGTTACAAAGATAAAGGAGACAGTTTATAAGGCTTCCCACTGGCCAAATTTAAGCAGCAATATGCAGAACAATAATAGATTTTAAAACATTATATAAAATGAAAATCTAATTCATAGGTAAGAATAAAAAAAGTTCCCTTAGTGCAGACTACCAACCCGTAAATGTAGAAGGAATAATAAAGTTAGAAAATAAACATGTTATGTATATCATAGTAATAACTGATTCAAGCATGAACCATCAGTTGATATTAAAACTATTAGGTAAAAATTTAGGCCAAGTGTTCACGCCTGTAATTTCAGCACCTTGGGAAGCCAAGGTGGGAGGACTGCTTGAGTTCAGGAGTTCAAGACCAGCCTGGGCAACATAGTAAGACCGCTTTACAAAAAATCAAAAAATTAAAAAGAAAAAGAAGTCTGACAGTAAGCAAGATATGTATGCAGTCTCAGAGTATGTCCCTTCAGGTTACTTATTAATTAGAAAAGAGAAAATGGTAACTTTCCAGTGGGGAAACCAAAAGGACACCCCTTTAACCAAAATTAACCTCAACAATACTACGGAACAAAGTGACATGATATACCTCTTTCCAAAAATGCATAATTGTATCTAATCCTGGGGAAAAAAATCAAATTCAAATTTTACAGTACATTTAGTAATATCATAAAAGACATAGAAAAACTGAAGAACTGGAGCTATGGTAACTAAAAGCAATATAACATCATGGATGGAATAGGAAGTATGACTGCTATAAAAGACATCTAGGAGACAATTGATAAAATTTGATTTAAGGTCTGTATATTAGACAATACAATTATAGCCATGTCGAGTTTTCTGAATTTGATAACTGCATTGTGACATTAGTGAAAGTTTTTGCTCTTAGCATATGCTTATAATTTATAATAATATAAATATTATAAAATAATATATTTTACTATTATTACTAAATAATTTGATATTATTACTAAAATAGTAATAATATCAAATTTTTAAACAGTAATCATATATATATATATATATATATATATATAGACACACACACACACACACACATATACCATCACATATAAAAAGACTATAAAGCAAATTTTGTGGTAAAAAAATAATTGGTCGCTCTAGATGATAAACAAAACTTCTCATATAGATACCAAAATAGGATTAACAAATTTTTCTTTTTTTTTTAGTTAGAGTCTCACTCTGTTGCCCAGGCTGGAGTGCAGTGGCATGCTCCCAGGCACCGCAGCCTCGACCTGCTGGGCTCAGGTAATCCTTCCACCTCAGCCTTCCAAGTAGCTGGAACTACAGGCACTCAATACCACACCCAGCTAATTTTTTGATTCATTATAAAGCTGAGGTCTCACCATGTTGCCCAGGCTGGTCTTGAATCCATGGGCTCAAGTAATCCTCTGGCCTCAGCCTCCCAAAGTGCTAGGATTATAGGCTTGAGCCACTGTGCCTGGCCAATTAACAATTTTAAAAAGAGAAAACATGGCAACAGAAAAATGATGGATTCACCATTTCTCTCTCAACTGAACAATCTTCAAATCCACAGATTTTTTAAATACCAGATTGAATTAATACATTGCAATATAGGGTTAGCTGAAAAAAAAAAGACTCAGAAATTCAAAGTTCAACACTTCAATCATATAAACTAAAAAGAGCAAACCACTTAAACACTCTTGACAGACCACCTATTACTTGTGAGCACACTTGGAGGTACAGGCTACTAAAGTAGTAACTAACTACTGTTTATTAAGTACTAAGTGATCAGATCTGAGCTCCAGCACATTGAAAATTCACTTAATCTATGAGCCATTATGGAAAGTGTTATCTACTTAAGTAGTATAACAGAAAAAGTTAAATTCAGCTGATTTAAACTGTTAAAATGCTAAAAGTTAGGTATTTTCTGGACAGGGCCCTAACCTATGGTCTCTTCTTTACCCTACTTTAACAGAAGAATGTTCCTACTAACCTCATTTATGTTTATAATGATATTTTATTTATTTAAAATTAATCACTGGGCTAGAAGAAGGACAAAATAAAATTTCACCCAAAACACTTTACCATGTGTAATAACTCAGAAAGAAAGACCAGAACTATAGACTCTTGACATCTTTTACCGTAAGATGTATATCCAAACAATAGATTATTATATAACCTTATTTGAATTCTGCTTCATAAAAAGTAATTTTGTATCTTAGGCCCATTATATGGTAATTAAAAAAATTTACTGATAGAAATAAAAGCAAAACACACCTGGAACATGGACTATGCCTGCCTGAAGATATTTAGCAACTGTGGATAATGGTAAATTCTATACAAGGCAATGCTTTGTAAAATATAAAGCAGGTCTATCACCAGGGAAGGGAATGGTAAGGTAAATAAAGTGGGAAAAGTATAGCCTGAAAATTTGTAAAATATACTTTCCTGATAGCAATTAGGGCTGACACCTAAGACTGGGAATTGTAAACAACTTACAGTCTCCTTTTTTTCTTTTTAAATAAGTAGCCCATATACCCTAGGAAAAGAGTTTGAGTGGTATCAGGAATTTTTTTTTCCCCTAAGTATTTTTTTATTCTAAGATTAAATAACAATTTCTGAAATTTGAAATGATTAAAAATAAAATCTCACATACGAAAATGCTTTGAAAAATGAAAATAATGTGCTCAAACAAAACAAGCTATTGTTAGCATTGTTATTTTCACAAGAATTTATACAAATTAGCTCCACTGCACACAACCAAGATAGACCAACAAAACCCTCACAAAGAGAAAGAGCAATCAGTAAATTCAATAAAATAAATGGTACCCCATTTGGGAAGAATATTGCAAAGTACTATCTAGAAAAAAAACACATTATGTAGTAAAGAAATTCTTAAATACATATTACATATTAGGGGTAACTGAAGGAAAAAATATTTTAAATTAATTTTTAAAAATCCAAATTATGTAAATCCAGTTAGGATGAGTTACAACCTGGTAATTCCTTTATATCTCTCTTTTTTTTTTTCTTTACTGAAGTGGAGCCCAAAGACAAAATACAGAGTGTGTCCAGGCTCTGCTTAGCAATGACAGGTGCAGCTTGAACAGAGAGGTACTCCTAGACCAGATGTCACCTAGAGGTTTTGTTCTGGATGTAGCCCTGACCAACGTTTTCATGCCAAGTAAAACCAGCTGTCTCAGCAAGTAAATTGGTTTTATTACAATACTTAAATCAACTGTTCTCAAACTTCAATGTACTTAAGAAACACCTGAAGGATTGCCTGAGTCCACGGGTTCGAGACCAGGCTGTGTACACTTGGTGTGACCTCATCTCTACAATAAATCAAAAAATTAGTTGCGTGTGATGGCGCGTGCCTGTTATTCCAGTTACTTGGAAGGTTGAGATGGAAGGATTGCCGGAGCCCAGCAGGTCGATGTTGGGGTGGCTGTGAACGTGCCACTTCACTCCAGCCTGGGCAACAGAGTCAGACTCTGACTCAAAAAAAAAAAAAAAAAAAAAAAAAAGGAATCACCTGGGGAATTCTTTTTAAAAATACTTTTAATCAGACTATTAATACCTAAAACCAATGCTCATTACTAAAAGGAAACAATAAAACATCATGTGCCTCATGATATACCAATGAAAAGTACAGCACTTTTATGTCTAAAATACTGAACCTGAATGTTATCAGTCTTTATATCTACTAGTTTTCAGGTGTAGAGGAACAAGTTAACCAACACCAGAAGGAAGCAATCAACCAAATCCAGAACCTGGGCCATTCTAAAGGACAAATTATCCCATATTACTTCAAATCAATGGCATGAGGGGAGGGAAAAAGGAAAGAGTCAAAAGTTCAAAAACACAATCTCTGTGTGACCTTATCTCAAAATTCTACTGCAGTAGGACAAGGGTAAAACACTGAACACACCGACTTAGATATTATATTAATGGAACTATGAATCTATCATTTTTGGGCAACAATTCAGAATGAGATGGCTATTCCTAGACATCATCAAGAGATTTCAGTTCCAGCAATAGGTAACTGCAAGATAGACAAATAAATTAACTCTCAATTCACAACAAAATGAATATAGGTGTTCTGACAATTAAGTTTGCGAACTCATCCTTTAAAAAGTGCTACATACCTCATTACTGAATATCACTATGGCCACCTTTGAAGTACTCCCCTTCAAAGTACCACCTAGCCCATCTGTTAAAGGAATTTTAGAACTCTTTTTCTGGAATGGCCATCAGAACTGTCATCATATTATCCTCAATATCCTGAATGTCATCAAAATGTCTTTCTTCCAATATTTCCTTTATTTTCAGATAAAGAAAACAGTTGCTGGGGGCCAAATCAGGTGAGTAGAGAGGGTGTTCCAATACAGTTATTTGTTTACTGACTAAAACTTCCCTCACAGACAGTTCTGTGTGAGCTGGTGCATTGTCGTGATGCAAGAGCTCCTTCAGGATCATTTTTGCACACACTTTTCTCATGCCAAGATTTTCAGTTAAGATTTTCCTGTTTCTATCGTTGTTTATTTGATCTGCTGTGCTTCTCACAGTCAGCTGATGATTTTGACACACAATTCGACGAATTTCTGCATTGTTTCTGTCAGTTCTGCTTGTTATTGGCTGTCCTGACCTCATCAGTGACATTTCATCTTCCTTCAGAAAATGTTTCATCCATTTCTATACTGCCATTTTCTTCATGGCATTATCCCCGTAAGCTTGAACTAACATGTCCCTGATTTCACTTTCACTCTTGCCAAATTTAACAAGAAATGTAATGTATGTTTGCTGCTCTAATTCAAGCTCTGACATTCTCACGATGGCATACGAAAACATGCAAGAACAATAATGAATGCCACTTAGCAAGACACCACCACACAGCCATGAGAGACTGATATACCAAGGTTATGAAACCTTTCTGAGTTGTTTGTACAATGCTACCAATGAAAGCACACGGTGGCAAGTTCACGAACTTAATTGTCAGGCCTTTTACAAAAAGTCTTCAATCACAAGTTAAAGTTCCTTGTTTCAAAAATAGAAAACTATATATTAAACTCTACTTTAAAAACACAATACTGAAAATACATGAATATCTTGTGGTACTAAGAGTGACAATTTGCTCTAAATCATCTCTTTATTCCAGGTCCCCCAAAAGTTTTATTTCCTAGGCGAATGCCTAAAACATGTTCACAATGGATAACTAATATTCATCACCATATATGCATTTTTGTGCACTTTTAAATAAACTGAAGGAACCTGTTAATTTATTTGACTCTACTATGGATAACTGAACTAAACATATTATATACATTTACTTTAAATCCAAAAGCCAAAACGTTTGCTTTTAATAAACACTATGCTTACAATTTCAAGCCATAAAATATTTAACATCTACATTTTTAACTCCACTAAATTCTAGTCTTTAGACCAATATCTACTTTTAAATAGTTTTTCCCCAATATCACAATTCACAATATGACTCCTTAGTTTTTAAAGTCACAGAACTGAAGTAAATACAAATTTTTAGCAGGACTATCATCATATTTCAGCAAAAGCGATTCCTACTATACAAAACAATCTGATGAATAATTCTGCCACAATTATCCAGAGACATTTGTTTAGACAAATTTAAAAAACAGAATTTTAAATACAAATATCCAGTTTTTAAAAAGAAGCATCTAATTAGAATGATGGACAACAGAGAATAAAAATCAGCAGTAACTTGTCCTTTGGGGGCTGCTAGTTCAAAGAAGAACCTTAAGTGTAAGGAAAACTAAGTCAATAAAATAACACAAATCATAAATTATTTTGTTATAAAGAATATCATGCCAATAAATGAACCACTGCCTGAAAACTAAAAATATTTGTCATGGTCGTATGTTTTGTCATTTGTCTTTTGTCATATTGTAGCTTAAACAGTAGAAAATATATTGTTATGCATCTACAATGGTTCTTTCCCCAGTCTGGACCAACTAAGATCACTGCTTATCTTACAAGTTCAACTTTTCTTCTGCTAATATTTGGACTGTAATATTTCTTGACCTTTCTTCTCCTGTCAATAAACACAAAATGATCTTAATGTCCCCTACTGGAACAAGCATTTAACAAGCATTACCAGCCAGGCTCAGTGGCTCAGCCTGTAATCCCAAGCACTTTGGGAGGCTGAGGTGAGTGGACTGCCTGAGCCAGCGGGCTTGAGACCCGCCTGGGAAACTTGGTGAGACCTCATCTCTACAATAAATCAAAAAATCAGCCGGGCGTGGTAGCATGCGCCTATAGTTCCAGATACTTGGAAGGCTGAGGCGGAAGGATCGCCGGAGCCCAGCAGGTCGAGGCTGCGGTGGCCGGGAGCGGCCACTGCACTCTAGTCTGAGTGACAGAGTGAGACTCCAACTCAAAAAAACAAAAAAACAAACATTACCACATAATTTCGTACATACAGTCAATGATAAAGGGATGCAAGCAATAGCACCATAAAAATTATTTAAATCTATATTCATGTCACTATATAAATATGCATATAATTGTCTCTCATCTCATTTCCCCCACTATTTTCCACATTATTATTGTTATTATTGCTTAACCCCCATTTCTTCTAGCTCAGTTTCCCAAATGGTGCTCCAAAGAACTTAAGTGGATGTTCCTCAAACATGGGGTTTCACAACATATACCACTGTGGTGATGTCTGGAAAAGCATTTACTATGAGAAAGAGAGGAGAAGTAATAAATAGCATTTCTCCAAATTTTCTAAAGATCCACAATGCATATTAAAAAAATAAAGTCTCTAAGAAGTCCTGCAATAAAGTAACCCAAGTTTAGCCTTTTGCTCAAGTTCATTTGGTCTTCTTTTCCAGGAAACATATTAGCATTTCAGGAAAACTAGTGTTTCACAAGGCACAAATTGGGAATTTCTACGCTAAGTGACTCTGAATACCCAAGTAATGGTAGTGGCAGATCAAAACAGCAGAATGAGAATCCCCTGACCCCCATATCATTCTGCATATATGTCCTCTAACTCCCAATTCAGACAAAAACCATCTTTCCACTAAACTTTAGTAAGTCTGTTAAATGCCCAATAAGCAGCCTTCACAAAATAACAAAATATCTTAAATACTTTACCTAAAAGCATGTATTAAGTACCTGCTCATTGACTAATGCAGTTAAAATGTTTGTTTTTCCTTTCTTTTCCAACTTCTAATTTCATTCAGTTTGAGAATATAAAAAACCCATAGTAGCAATACACATTTCTAAGACATTATATAGCAGATTTCACATGCAATCGACTAGGAAGATACTGTTTGAATCCATAGTCAAGCAGAGGTAGGATTATAAAAAAGTGCTCCTCTTCAGAAATAGACATTTTTTTAAAAACTTAAATGTAAAAAAAGTATATACACATTTTTGGGAATTACAAAGTTCTTAGTTTGTATCCTCAGTAAAATCTGTAACCTCGGTATACTATTATCTTGGAAATAACTCTATTTCTACTTTGGGCAAATTTAAGCTGTTTAAACCATGGATTCCAAGACACAGCACTACCCTAGCTGAGCTTGGATCAGTCTTTCTCAACTTTCTCCACTTTCTACTCTTCCTTTCAACAAGTTGGCATGCCCTTTAAAAATGTAAAAGAGTATCAGAAAACATCAAATTCAGGTCTTGCTAAAAAATATATATATATACATAGCTTATAAAAGTACATTTAAAATACATATATAAATAATTTATTCAGATATATTTGTTCTTACATTCTCTATATTACTTTTATTTTCCATTGTTGAATAAGTAGCATAATCTATTTAGCTCTGTTTAACAATTCACAAATTCAAGTTGTTACTTTATTTACTTACTTATTAGTTTTGAAGAATTATTTCCCGTAACCTCAAGTGATTCATAAAAGGCTTTCTCTTAAAACAACTGATGTACATGGTGGACACTAACTATAGAATAAATGAATATATATTCATTCCATTTAATTGATAAGTGTAAATTCCCTCTCTTGGTAAAAAAAAGTTACGGAAGGGCTTTACCCAACAAGAAAAAAACTGGAATAAACTCACAATGCAACTGAAGATTTACCATGATGAGCACAACTCTACAATAAGTTTTTGACTGCCCTTAAAGGTAGGTATATGTAAAAAGAAATCATTTAATGCAAGTTTCAGTGTCAGAAAGCCAGTAACATATAGTTTTGTACAATAAGTTTTTCATGTCCAAGACATTTTACCTCCTTTCCAAAAAATCAAGTTTTATAAAGGAAACATCAAGTTAACCTTGACCATGGCTGTACTATTGGCATCAGTAAACGAAAACAAAACTCTTCACCAAGTATTTGAAATATTTACCTAAATCTTCATACTAAAGCTTCAAATTCTTAACCCAAACAAGAATAGGAAATTGTCCCCCAATCTCAGCACCAAAACAAAACAAAAAATAAAATTCACCAAGTAAATATGGAACACATTGTGCAAAGATATACTTGGGCATAAATTTAACCATAGGGAACTTCCAATTATATTTTAGTTTCTTAAAATCATTTGTAACAAACTGAATTCATAACAGACTGATTAAATATTAAGGAATATGTGCCATGAACGTAACTTTTTTATCCAATTAATAAATGTCCCTTAAGTCATTTTACTTTTTTTGCACTTTAATTTCTCCACCAACAAAATGTGTGAAATTATACCTTATTCTTTTATACTCATAAAAATATCCTAATAATAAATATTTGTAAAACACAATGAGATGTACATGCCAAGAAAAGAACTACGAAGTAAATAGACCTCATAGATAATTAATATCCAATATTTAAAGAATATTTTTACATTTTATCAGCAGGCACTTATAGTTTTTAAAAATCACATGTCAACGTTAAATAATCAACTGCATTTTCAATTTCAGACTGAGAGATTTTTGTAGACAATCTACAACTGAACAATTGTAAGTTTCATACAATCATGCTACCTTTGGCCATTAATACTCATGTCTATATTTAACTATGTTTGTATCAAAAAGAAATAAAACTCTCAGACTATGCATGGCCAGCATACTAGTTCCTCTTCCTTAAATGTCTGTAATATTATGAAAATGTGTCATAAAATACTAGGCTAAGAGTCGTCCATCCAATTAATAGTGAAACTACAGGAGAATGTGAGCAAATATTAAGCTTGTAAGGTAAAGGAGAACTAACCCATGTAATGACAGTCTTACAATAGGTCAAATGAAAAAGCAGTTCATATTAAAAATTACTCCACCTGTGATTTGTCAAACATTGCATTATCTGTTCATCAGAATCATGATATTCAATTTGATGTAGCAAAGAGGTAACTTATCAAGTCACCTGATTACTATTTCTTACTATGAAGAGGCACTCCTATGGGTAAGTAGCAGAATTACTGTTAAAGGTTAGCATCTTGTCTGCCAGTTAAGATTTTGCACCAGAAGGTGTAAACCCAGAATAATATAGATCCTCTATCTGTGCAATATTACACTACTAGGGAAAAAATTCTTTCAAGGTTGGTAGTAACCAATTTTTGACCAGCATATTTATTTTGTATTTCTTTACAAGCCATGCAAATCTTCACATGGTTTGATTTTCCAAAACAAATGCTTCAACTTTTTTCCTAGTAGCCTAGCTACAACCCTGCAAAAACAAACCTGAAGAGTGACATATGGAGGAAAAACAAGTTTAGCTAAGGACACAGTTCAAAAAACAGCTTCGTATAAGAGCATAAAGCTAAACTGATCTGAGAAAAATGTAAATACTTACAAACAACCTAGAAACTACACAGTTAAAAATAGTACCTATAAGTATAATGAAGGGATGATACAATCCTAAGACAGAAACGACAACTAGAAAAACAATATTTATGATTAAAAATAAAAAAAAACTGGAAATCTAGACATTTAATCAATTATGCTAAAACTGTTAGTATGGATGTGGATTCTTTAGAAAAATATTTATATCTCATGAACCTATACATCATATAGAACCTTTTGGTTATAAAATTTCAACCAATCAATCTAACAAATACCAGGCAAAACTTTAAAATAAGTATTTTAAAGTGTCAAAATCCAAATTGTTCAAACTGACTGCCATAAAACCAGTATAAGTATTAACATGTTCCTCTCAATAATATAAATGGAAATAAGCAAGTCAATAGCACCATAAATATAAAATTATATTTCTCACCCCACTACTAACTCAACAGTCTTGAAAGTTAATTTTATTTATTGATTTAGCTCTTTGTTTTAAAATGTACTCTGATGCACATGCATCACACACACAACAGATAACAACTAACCATATTTAATATCTTCTAGATTTCCTGTGTAGTTCAATAACTACTCCACAAAGTTCTCCAAACTACAGTTTGAAGACTAGTCAATCAAAGATAGCCAATAGAAAGTACACCTGTGCAATTACTTCATTTCCTATTTCAGAATGCTGAGCATAATACAGAATAACTGAGTGCATCTGAAGCAATAATAAATGCAAAATTCAAATTATGCAGAAGCTACATTACAAAAAAAGCCCATCCTGTAATATCGCTATTAAAAAGTAATAAATAGAAAGAGTATTACTTTAGTTTTAAATAACAACACCAACTTAGGCCCTTCTGAAGGTAAGTAAAAAAAATAAGGGTAACATAAAAAATAAAAGATGACCCCACAACAGCTAACAATACAAAAATATTCCTAGAAGAAAAACAGGGAAAGAAGAAAATTAAATCCCGAAATATATTATCTAGACTGTATCACATACCAGCAGGATGAGAAACTTACTTTATCAAATAAGCAGTCAAAAAAGAAGAGGAAGAATGAAAGAGAATCCAAATTAAAGTATCCTGTTTCATAGTATCCTCATTTTTCTAAAGACATAATAATCCCTTTGAGTGTTTTAAAATCACTTGAAATGCAACAAAAAAATAATTCTAAGAGCAATCCTGGTATTCTAAGGAACCAACATGTTAGGCTATGTAGAAAAACTCTACTGAAAAACTATTCAGTGATACAGTTCCAAACAAGAAGTTGCATTTTTAAAAAATTTCTGAAAGTCAGAATTTTAAAAAGTAAGAGTTTCCAAAACAAAAAATTTTCCCAAAGGTTACAAAGTTTCTTAACTATCATAACTCTTGTACTAAGCATCACCTTTTTCTGCCCCTCAGTGGATGCCAAGCAATCAATAACAATGTCACGAAAGAATGTTTACCAAGATGAGAGGGTGGTGTGTCACCACCTGTACTGATTTTGTATGAAAAATATACACGATCCTAAAATAGGTGAGGAAAACTTACACCTTCTTGCAACCTCATTTTATTTATATTAAGCGTTTCCTAGATTGAAATTTGCAAGAGATTATAAATTGTTTGGGGTGCAAAGTTTCCTTTTGTTAAAAACAAATCCATAAGTCCCTTATTTCCAAATACTGTGGAAAAGTCACTACTACTCACCGCAAGTAATACTGTTTTAAAGCAAAGGCAGCGTTAGAACAACTTCTGGGAAAGTTGAACTCTTCAACAATTTCTCCCCACTGATTCTTCTCCGAAACCTGGTGAAAACACAGGCACACTTGTCTGAAAGTGCACAATCCAAGAAAACCTTCGCCTAACCATGAAATAAATACCCATTCTAGAGATCTGCAGAGACCTAAGGCATCAGCGGGTATTCCGGGTCTATCCGTACGAGTTACTAAGCCAGGGCTCCAGGAACCAGTCTGTTTTCACCACGGAGCCCTATATTTAATAGCACTTGTTTTGTTTGGGGGGGGGTTGGTGGGTTTGTTTTGTTTTTGAAGCCCGGACAATAACCAATCGCAAGTCCCTCTGTCGCCCCCTTTTAAATCTCAACGCGGTCCGTTTACACTTAAAAAAAAAAGTTCAAAAGGATCAATATTGTTCCGGACAGCGACGTCCGCGGGTTCCGGGGGGGCCGGGGCCGGGGCCGATTCCGATCCCTCTCCCAGATCTATCCATCTCCATAGGCCCTTCTTTGAGGCCTACAGCTTCTGCCTAGCCTTGAAGCCTAAGATGGCTATTTGGAGACAGGTCCTGGTTTCTTTTGTTAGCTGTATAAACCGAGGGCGACGGGGCCGAGGCTGTGCCCCCGGCTGCCGGGATCATTTCGCAGCCGATTATCGATGTTAAACCTGCCCGCGCTAATTTTGAGTTGCACGAAAACTGCTCTCAGAGTCTGTGTGTCTCTGTGTCTCCGCCTGTGCTAGA